ATGCTGCACATCGAGTCCTTAATGGAATGGTCCTCTTGTCCTTACTCTCACTTTTTTTATTGACAAAGAGGTCCCCTACAGAGGGTCAATGCTGGCTAATCATCACGGAAAGAGCATAATCATGGTAAAAGCAGATTTACCATGTGTGCCTGAAGTGGGGAGAAACGCATTCTTCCCAGGTCAATGGTTTCTCTAAGTGCACTATCAATTTGGTTTAATTATTGTAATGCCTCCCCGCGCTAGACAGTTTATTATAAATGAATGGCATTTTACTTGCACAAACTGGGTCAACGCAGCTGAGTTATGACATTTTGGTGAGGAGGCCAGGTCCCATGAAGAAAGGCCGCCTTTGTGTGCATCAGGTTGGTGAGAATTCGCGGGCGTCTGGAATACCAGCCAGCCGCGGAGTCCAGGGACAGCTTGCTGGTGGCAGGGCCACCCAACACGCCCAGGAAGGACTCCAGGAAGGCTGGCCTGTGGCCCTCTGCAGCTTCATGGGCTCCCACGTGCCACAGGCCCCCAAGTTTGGATGCTTTCCTGCAGGCCCTGCCACCATCAAGGTCCCCAGGAGAAATATTGGGTTGTCGGAAAAGTCATGACATATTTTTTCTATGTTTTTTGTTGCAAAAATGCGTCATGACTGTTCCGACAACCCAATAGCTCTCGCTTCCTCATAAAATTACCTTCAGAGGCTCACAGTGACAAACAGCATCTCCCCAGAGTGACGATAGGGGTGTACAGAAGCGTTCCCATTACGAGTCTGGGAATCTCTTNGCTTCCTCATAAAATTACCTTCAGAGGCTCACAGTGACAAACAGCATCTCCCCAGAGTGACGATAGGGGTGTACAGAAGCGTTCCCATTACGAGTCTGGGAATCTCTTAAGAGACCAATTACTGGATCGGTTCAGAATCCAAGACCCACCACATTCTGAGGTTTTTCCAAGAACGGCCTTAACATTCAGAGGTGCCATTCGACAACTGCATTTCTTTTAGCCAAACTTTCAAGTTCACGGCCAAGAAGACCCCCGGCCTTAAACGTGGACCCAGAAACGGTGGCCCTGCTGGATAGCGCCCGGCTCCATCAAGCCACCCCTCCTCCCGCCTCCCTCACACGATCGCCAAGTACCTTTTCGATCGCATGTGCATCTCTTTCTCTGAAATGTACCTTTCTTTGGGTTTGAACAAGTTATCTGGAAAAAAGATGGAAAGAGGATTAATTTCAGAAGGTACGGATGTCACACATTTCTGGAGACACATTACGATGGGCTTAGCACACGCTGTGTTATTGATCCTTAATCTAATCCCCCAGCCGTGAAAATACTGTGGGACTCAGCAGACACTCATACACCATAGTGGGTGCGTTGGAATCAACAGCCAACAGCTTGGACTGGACCACAGTGAAATACGGGCTGAACTATAAGGTGTCTAACACACTTTATGAACAGCCACTTCTCTGCCTGCTTCATTTAGAGTGTCATGGTTTGCTGGGAGCAGCGCCAGGGTGCCACTAAAATGTGCTTCAGTGTCACCGTGGGCTCAGGGCCTTG